TTCGTCGATAATTCTAGAAATACAACTGCTCACTGGAACGATCTGCTTTGAAATGGGCTAAAAAGGCAAAATGTAGAATGTTGCATTCACATATGAAGGGAATTGGGGAGAATTTATTTGCAATTCATGGTAGCAACTCCATGGGACAAGCTGCAAAGGTAGGCGATATTTCAAATATGTAAAATCAGTAAACTACCCCGGCGTTTCAGTCAGCCCCTAATGCTTGGGGTAGCGAGATTAAGAAACTGGGCATATCATCGCTTAGTGATCATAGAAAGGGAATTGGTCATGCGACTCAGGTACGTGAAGAAATCCTAATCCTGAAGATTGTAAAAATTGTATTTTAGATGTTTTGGGCAGGCACCAAAACAGTAGGTTGTGGAGTGATGACTTGCGGTAAGAAAAATGTAATGGTTGTGTGCCAGTATTACCCACCGTAAGGAGATAATGTCAAACTTCTTGAAAATCACCAAACGGCTACGTTTTAGAGGAAATTGGGTGCGAACACAAATGTATCAAAGAGGAAAGATCCTATCAGATTGTGGCAAAGGAAGCAATGAAATCGCCGATAGAAACTCTGGCCTTTGTATATGGTCTTAAAAACGTAACGAGTTAATAAAGTTTCAATTAACAAATCTACTGTCTTGTCCTTAATTTTTCTGTCAAGGATTAAATAAGCTAAATGAGCATTCGAACTTTGAAATGTAGCCTTATGGGTAGTATTAACAGATTTTTCGATTGCATTCTTCCGTTAACCCTCTGCGTACGCAGACTTTCCTGTTCAGAATACTTACTATTTATTTACCCCATGCAACTTTCCATGCTTTAGTGGATACAAACTTTTGAAATTCAATTCAATATTCCTATATGATCTGACACTTACGGAAAGTTCCCTTCTCAATAAATCCACAAAAACCCTAGGCATCAGAAAAACTCACAGCTGCACTCTCAACGTGAACAGTTTGCATATCGAGAACATTGTTCCATCTTATACAGATCTTCTTAAAGACTGCAAATTGTTGTATCTGGCGAAAGCTTTGGAAATAAGAAAGATGACTTCAAATTGCCAAAGTTGGCCACCTTTGGAAAAATTATCTTTCTATTTCCAACTTCCATTGTACACCATCTCTGCAAGAGTGTTACTACAATGCAATCACCTCTTCGAATAGACATCATAAACGAGAGCAAACAAACCACTACCAGGTAGAAAACCAGTTAGAGCCTGCTAAAGCTTCGGGCATCTCTTTCCTCACTTTCTAAAACTTCTTCTCAAAAGGGGCTTAGTGTGAAAAAAATGGGTAGTGATAGGTAAACCATTCAAAAATGATTATTATTATCTTATTCACCATGTTTCAGCTAGAGCGAAAAGTAAAGAATAAAGTAATTGGAGAGCATATATTCCTCTAGAGTGTTATTATATTTTTATTTAGCATAGTGATAAATTCTTGTGCACCATTTTGGGCACTTCAGAGCAAAAACAAAGAAACTGGTAAGTTAATGAAATTGTGTACTACTCTTCCTTGATTATTCGTAATGAGAAAATAAACCATTGTGCAACTTCCAGCAATCTAAAGCCAAACGAAGAAAACAGTAAACTAGAAAAACCATAACTATTTCCTGGCTTGATTGTAGTAAACGAGATCAGTTGGTCCTAAACAATTATGTGCGCTAATCCAGTTGTCTGAATCTAAAATGCAAACCACGAATAAGATCACTCGATTTTTCTTTAATACATACATACATACATACATACATACATACATACATACATACATACATACATACATACATACATA